TAGAACCCGCACCCATATGGGATGCCGGTGCTTCAGGCCAGGGCGTTAACCCGCTGCACCACAGTGCCGGTCCCAATAAATAGTAAATTTATTTAGTAAATAAATGAAATTAGTAAATTTATCAGCAAACATTTATGGTGTATCTCTATCAACTAAGAGCTCTGAATTTCCAAACTGTTGAAGTACCACATTTATGACAAGCACTTCTGTACTGCATTCTTGTGAATGGGCATAGCACTGAGTTTTCTGGCTGTCCCGTTAGTACTACAAACACATGACAGTTGTCCTGCCCAGGCCCATCTTCCCGGCCCTTCTCATTCTGTCAGGGAGCTGTCACAGAGGAAGCCGCTAATTCACAGCCTGTCTCTTTCAGCTATTTCTAGGCTTGATCTGCCTAAGCTTTGTACTTGAACCCGTCACTCGGCATGAGAGGATGTTCCTGAGAAAGAGGACACTGCCACCTTTCATTCCTTTCCTCAGACAGAAATTAGTTCTGTTATGAAATCATTGTTTGATATATAATTTGCTCTCACTGTGATCTGGTAGAAAATTGTACATTAAAAGAAAGCCTTGAATACAATGTCAGCCAAGCTGAAATTCTCCTGTTATTTCCCAAAGAGAAGAACAAAAAGCAAGAGGTATCAGAAAACATTGGGAACAAATGGAAGCTTTTCATTAGTGTTGGATGGCTAACTCAGCATCGATTGAATTCCAGCAGCTATAATTTATCTCCATGTGCATTCAATAGTATTAAATGTTTCCCTTTGGTCCACTTTCACAGTCAGAGTGACTGCCTCCCAAGTGTTTTGTGTGCTATTTCTCTTCAAATCAGTCACCAGCTATTTTGTTCCAGTTCACAGTGCTATTTGGTCCAAGGATACATGGTAAGTCCAAAGGAGATAAAAAATGATGTGACTGATTGACAGTTAAGTCATTTGCAAGATCCTTAGCTACAGCTACAAGGTTAGTACTACATCTGACAACTCTCCATTCTTTGCACCTACCTTTGGGGATTCACACATAGCTAATATTTTCAATTGGTGAATGTCTATTTATTTCATGGGGAAGTCATATTTACCAATATTAAGGATGTTTCTTAGGACAACAGGAAGTTAGTACTGGAAGAAACATTAAGGGTCATATAATTTGGTTGATGTTTTTTTATTAGGAAACTTAAGCCCTCAAAAACAAACTGATCAGGACCATATATCTCCCTTTTTTTTTTCAACCCAAAGTTCTTGCCACTATGCACCTCTCCCTGCAACTGTCTCGCAAGACAGGTATTTTGTTTTATACCTCCTTGTACTCTCTGCAGAGACCAGTATGGAAAATGACCATAGCCTATCAGGTACATATATACACTTGGTGGTTACACAGCAATAATAATTATTTATTTTTATTTGAAAGAAAGCAAGAACTTCCATCCGTTGGTTCACTCCTCCAAAACCCACAACATCCAGGGCTGGGCGAGAACCAAAGCTGGAATCTGGGAGCTCCATCTAGGTTTCCTATCTGGGTGACAGGAACCCAATCACTTGAGTCACTGTCACTGAAGTAAGGAGCTGGAGCAGGGCTCCAAACTCAGTTACTCTGATATGCAGTCTGGGTGTCTTAACTATATTCTTAGCCACTATACTATGAACCATTAGAAGTATATCTTTATGTCACCTGTAATCCTCATAACAACTCCACCATGTTTGCAAAACACATTTGTTACAGATGAAGAAACTGAGATTGAGAGAGCTTCAGGAACTGGAGTTAGTTTACACAAGTAATACATCATGCAGATGGGATTTCAACACAGTTCTTACAGCCTTAAAAGCACATATTTTTTCCACAGTATTATTCTGACTTAGAAATACTATCAGTTTTTCCATATGGTTAAAATTCTTAAATTTTAGATAGAAGCAATGTGGTTCAATTTGTGTTCTTTACTGACAGTTTTGTGATCTACACTCTAGTACTACATTGAGAGAATTGAAGACTCAGAGCTTGCAACTAACTTGCAACAAACAGTACCCACCAAAGAAAAAAAGCCTGAGGCTAGAGGATTATGAGTCTTGGAGGAAGGGATGAGTATATCTATCCTTACCTGAGTGCACTGTAATTTTTGTTCACCACGGTTACCTTAGAATATGGGAATCAGAATTACAAGAGCCAAATAATTCAAGGGCCTTGAAGATTTACTGGTATCTCGCTGAGGGGATCTTGACCAAAAGTAATGGCTCCCCAACATTAAATTCCAGGCTTCATACACATAAGGAAAAGGGGGTTCTTAGAACAAAGGCATGATTTATTCAGTGAGACAGGAAGAGTAATGGCACCCCAAATGCCCAAGTTCTGGAATCTGTGAATATGCATGGCAAAGAGGAACTAAGGATACCGAGGAAGCAACCAGGTGACTTTGAAAGGCAGAGATTATTCTGGATAATCTGGGAGGTTTCAATGTAGTCACAAGGAACATTATTAGTGGAAGAGGGAATTAGCAGAAGAGAGGCAGAGGGAGACGTGATGACAAAACAAGATTGGAGTAATGTGATGAAAGGATGCAGCAAGCACTGCTGCCTTGAAGATGGAGGAAGTGGCCTTAGGCCAAGGAATGCAAGTAACCTTTAGGATTTGGAAAAGGCAAGAAAACAAATTCTTTCTTTTTTTATTTTTTTAAACTTTTATTTAATAAATATAAATTTCCAAAGTACAACTTCTGGATTATAGCGGCTTTCCCCCCACCATAACCTCCCTCCCACCTGCAACCATCCCATCTCCCACTCCCTCTCCCACCCCATTCTTCATCAAGATTCATTTTCAATTATCTTTATATATAGAAGATCAATTTAGTATATACTGAGTGAAGATTTCAACAGTTTGTACCCACACAGAACATAAAGTGTAAAATACTGTTTCAGTACTAGTTACAGCATTAATTCACATTGGACAACACATTAAGGACAGAGATCCCACATGAGGAGTAAGTACACAGTGACTCCTGTTGTTAACAATTGGACACTCTTGTTTATGGCATCAGTAATCTCTCTAGGCTCTTGTCATGAGTTGCCAAGGCTATGGAAGCCTTTTGAGTTCGACAACTTCGATCTTATTTACACAAAGTCATAGTCAAAGTGGAAGTTCTCTCTCCTTCCTTCAGAGAAAGGTACCTTCTTCTTTGATGGCCCCATTCTTTCCACTGGGATCTCACTCACAGAAATCTTTCATTTAGTTTTTTTTTTTTAGTTTTTTTTTTTTTTGCCTGAGTGTCTTGGCTTTCCATGGCTAAAATATTCTCATGGGCTTTTTAGCCAGATCCGAATGCCTTAAGGGCTGATTCTGAGGCCAGAGTGCTGTTAAGGACATCTGCCATTCTATGAGTCTGCTGTGTATCCCGCTTCCCATGTTGGATTGTTCTCTCCTTTTTAATTCTATCAGTTAGTATTAGCAGACACTAGTCTTGTTTATGTGATCCCTTTGACACTTAATCCTATCATTGCGATCAATTATGAACTGAAACTGATCACCTGGACTAGTAAGATGGCATTGGTATGTGCCACCTTGATGGGGTTGAATTGGAATCCCCTGGCACATTTCTAACTCTACCATTATGGGTAAGTCCGAATGAGCATGTGCCAAACTGTACATCTCCCTCTCTTATTCCTACTCTTATATTTAACAGGGATGACTGTTCAGTTAAATTTTAACACCTAAGAATAATTGTGTGTTAATTAAAGAGTTCAACCAGTGGTATTAAGGAGAACAAAAAAAATACTAAAAGGAATAAAGTAGTAAGTTTTTCCTCGATAGTCAGGACAAGGGCTGATCAAGTCACTGTTTCTCATAGTGTCCATTTCACTTCACCAGATTTCCTTTTAGGTGCTCAGTTAGTTGTCACCGATCAGGGAGAACATGTGATATTTGTCCCTTTGGGAAAGGCTTATTTCACTCAGCATGATGTTTTCCAGATTCCTTCATTTGAAAACACATTCTTTCTATGAGCCCCCAGGAAGAACATAGCCATGATGATGACTTGATTTTAGGACTTCTAATTTCCAGACTGAAGGATAATAAATTTGTGCTTTAAGCTATTATCTTTTGCTAATTTGGTATAATAGCAGCAGAAAATGAATACTTACTTATGAAACTGAGTTTAATTATGAGAGCAATGCTGTGTTAGTTGATATTATATCTTTGGCTGACAGAAGTCCAAGTAGAGAGACTTAAGTCAGACAGAAGTGTGTTTCTCTCATATAAAAGTCCAAACTTTTGGGGGTTCTGGAGTTGAGGTGCAGGATCCTCCTATCTTATTCCTTGGCTGTTCCTTGAACGAATTTCCCTTATCAGCATGAGAAGAAACAGCTCACTACTAGACTCTGGACTCTAAGGCAGGCATGAAGTAGGAAAGCAAAGTTTTCCTTCTTTTTAAGGGCAGGAAGGGAATAGAGAGGCCAAGCAGGGAAACAAAAGGCAATTCCATCTCTGAAAGTGTGGGTTCAGAGTTCAGATCACAGCACTTTTATAAATATTTCTGCTCAGCCTCTGTAGATCAGGCTGATGGAGCAGGCATGGAGTAACTGGGAAATTTTAAGACTTGCTGCCATTATTCCTGAAAATGAAGCCATCCACTGAACCCTAAGCAGTTCCCATTAGTATTTAATGTGTAGGGCTATGAGATAGTATCACATGATGCTGAACTGCAGAAAGGACCAGGAAGTAGTGTGTATGGCACAGCCTGAACCCTGGCATCCCAGCCAGGACTCTGCACAAGTCAATCCCCTATTATTTCATTAGCCTTGCAACAACTTGGACCTATATTTTACATGACTGATTTTTTAGGCCATAGTTTCTATGAAATAGCAAGCTTTTCCTTATCTCCTTTAAGATTCCCAGCAATCCTATAAGGCATACAATTATTTTTCCTATTTTACAAATGAGAAAAGGCAAGTACAGAGACACTAATAACTTGCCCAACTTTACACAAGTAATATGTAATGGAATGAGATTTGACTCACCAGACAGTCTGGCTCCAGTCCTTGCAGAGTGAAGAATGGGTTCTGGAAGAAAATTAAGTCTCTTCCACAAGTTCTTACGCTGATATAAACCAAAGATGACTGGAAATATGTAATTCTGCACCATAGTACAAAAGGTTGTATCCATTTGTTTAGATCTGAAAGTCAATATTAAAACACTTCAGAGTCATTGAATTATCAGATGAGATCCTGAATAACAGAAGGGAGGTAAAACAACTTAAATAATGTTTTAACAATTACTTCTTTATGCTAGACACCAGGCTAGACACTTTATACACCTCAATTAAGAGACTCGGGGTGGGGCTGGCACTGTAGTGTAGCAGATAAAGCTGCCACCTGCGACACTGGCATCACATACGGGTGCCAGTTCGAATCCTTGCTGCTCCTCTTCTGATCCATCCCCCTGCTATTGTGCCTGGGAGAGCAGAAGAATGCACCCACATGGGAGACCCAGAAGAAGATCCTCGCTCCTAGTTTTGATGTGACCCAGCCCTGGCTGTTGCGGCCACCAGAAGATGGAAGATCTGTTTCCTTTCGTGTTTGTGTGTGTCCCTCTCTCTACATAATTCTTCCTTTCAAATACACAAAATAATTTTTTAAAAAATGCCCAAGTTTGATAATGAGAAAAAGAGAGAAGATGAGACAGAGACAGAGAGAGAGAGAGAGAGAGAGACATTTAGGGTATCCTTTAGCATGGAGCTAAAACAATTTATGCTGGAATTTTTCTTTCCATACGAGAGCTTAAATCTTTTAATCAGTCAACAAACCACTTCGAACTCAGTAGTTTAAACAACAGCAATTTGTTAGCTCATGATATTGTGGATCTCCAGCTTGGGATGGGCTAGGTTGGTTGATTCTTCCCCTCTGGCTTTGGCTGGGCTCATTTTATGCCTGCAAATTCTGCTGTTCAGCTCAGAAATTCTATTTCTAGGGCTGAGCTACTGTAGGCTGGGCAACAGGAATTAAGGGACTACCTCTACCAAATCCCTTGCCATCCAGTAGGATAATCTGAACTTATTCATCCAGTGCAGAAAGATTCCAAGCACAGCAGTAGATCAATCTCCAGGGTGCAAATACTTTTCAAATCTCCGTAGGTATCACATTTGCTACTGTCCCATTGGCCAAAGAATGTTGCTGGCCAGTCCAGAGACATGCAGGTGAAACAAAATCTCATCTCTTGGTGGAAGGAGTTGTAAAACCATATGTAAAGGTATAGAGAAAAAGGAGAAGACCTATAATCATTACGCAATCTACCACAAAATTAACAGTGAAAATATCTGTAGCCCAGGAAAAAGGAGTGTTCTTGGCAATATTTCACTTGGAAGATTAATTTTATTGGTATGAAATACTGTCATACACTGCATAACAATTTTTCAGTCAACAGTGAACCACATATACAATGGTGGTCCCATAAAATTATGTGGCTTAGTGACACTGTCATCTTAGTTTGTTTAATTATATTTTGTGATGTTCATACAGTGATGAAGTTGTCTAAGGAAGCATTTCTCCAAACGTTTCCCTGCTATTGAATGACTTAAGACTGAATAGCAACTTAAAATACTATTCAAACATTCATGCCTCAATAAACTACCACATGGAACAGCAAAGCAGAGAGAATGCCTACAACATTTTAGTAGGAAGAACATTTACAATGGAAAGCTAAGATGCTCTAGAAATTAAACAAGGAATAATGATAACTGGATCAATATCTCTCTTATTATTATTTCTCCCCTCATTTAACATTTAGATTTATTCTTAAAATCTCAGAGTCATGACCACACATTTTGAAAACCCATTCTAATGGCAGGACTACTTGGCAAGGCAGCGACTCTGCTGGCCTCTTCCTGGCGCAGAGTGCAGCAATCCTTTCTGGTAAGATTTGCCAACTCCATTTCTAATCTCCTTGTCCCAGTAGCTGGAGCCTCCATGTGTCAGAGAGTCCCTGCACTGATAAGAGAAGGGGAATTTACCTGGGAATCCTGACTGCCAAATTCTGAATGCTTCAGTTGGATTGATTAAGAAAAATAATTGCCTGTCAAAACACTTAATTCATTTGAGAACATGTGTGTCCATCATGCTTTTTGACAGGAGTCCTCAAATTTCTTCTCCTAGATCCAGGACCCAGCTGACAGTGGTTTCAATCTGCATGAGCAATGCACAAGCTGTCATTCCCCATTAGATTTTGGGTGGTGCCTAGGGGCTGTACTAGGTTCAGAAAAGGTGGCAATAGAAAAAGGAGTGAGTTTTTATTTATTTACATATCACTCTCTTCTCCACAAAAAGAGGACTGCAGGTAGCCTCCAAGGTGTGTATATACACACACACGCACACACACACACACACATACACATACATGATTTTTGCAAATAAATCAGAATGAAGGGAACACAGGACAAAAATAATTAGTGAAATCCTAATTGGGCCTACAGTTCTCTTTTAATGGAAAGCCAAGAAGCAGGGAGCCCTGTGAATTTTTATACTTGGTTTGATGGGGATGGTTGTCATGGGGAAGAATGATTAGACAAAGAGGTATGATCTACTGGTACTGGAGGAACACAATAGCAATCGTTCTCTCAGGAGACTCACCAGCAATGCCTCCTGGTTCAGATTCTTCTCTGTCTCTGCATTTTCAAAGATAGTGGTATTCCTTTCTTCCAGGTATAGGGCACCTCTCAAATGAGAGCATTATGACCTGCTTCACAGGAAAAGGGCAGGAGGAAGTTGGAGAGGGATCTTCCTTGGTTTTATGCTCTACTTGGGGGAAGAAAGGACCAGGGGAGGGTGAAAGGGACCTTCTTATTACTGCTGTTGTCTCAAATGTCAAGGTGCCATGTGTTGGGGTGATATGTCCTGAACTCTACCCCCATCAATTACCTAGTATATGAGTCCCAGTGTTCACGGGATAAAATTCAGCAAATTTTTCAAGAAAAGAGGAGGCTTCATAGAGGCTCCACATAAAGAGGATACCTGTATGTTGTAAGCAGGTGCAGCAATGACCTCCTGATGCAAATGTTGGGTGGCTTTGCTTCCAAGGGTAGGAGGAATGTTGGAAACCTCTGATAGCCTCCATAGTTCAGTTACCTGGCAGGATGGGGGTGGTACCCGATAGACAAAGAGGTCTAGTGAGTGTGAAGATGCCAGTCAACTGCAGGGATCTCAGAAGGATCATAAGCAAGGTTCCTCCTTGCCTCTGGGTCCCCGAGGGGCTTTTGGAGAGGCTGTTGGAGAGTTCTTTCAAGAGAAATCAAACACTGAGTTCTTCTCCTTTAGAACAGAGACATCTATCTGAAAGCCATGCCTAAATGTCTGCCATGGGACTAGTAAAGGGACAAGTAAGTCACTGGACCTACATCAGCTGGCATTTGGAGTTATGTGCCTTCTTGTGGGCCTGCTGGCTGGGAGACACACCCAGCCATGGCTGGGAAAGGTCTGGTTCACATTTCCTTACGGGAAGCTGAACCCACAGGACTCCTTGGGAACAAGGAAGGAATGGGTGAGGTGGTTTCAGAAGGTTCCGGAGCCCCTAGATAATTCCAGACCCTAGTTCTTAAAGGAGGCAAGTAGATGGTAGCTGGTTTAGCACAGGCAATGGTGTCAGACACACTAGGATGCCAGTGGTGCTATAGGAGCGCCACATGGCACTGAGCACACGACACAACTTCTCCAACCCTGGGTTTCTGATGTGACAGGGAGCTACACATTTGCACAGTGAGTCCAGGCTTAACTAGAAAGGGAGTTACTGCAGCTGGAATCCCAGGGCTCTGTGGGCAGAAGACTCAGGGACTCAGGCTTGTTCTACCATCTTTACTTGTGATGTTCACGCTCACGCTGCACCTCCCGAGGCTCAGTGCCTGCATTCCAGACAGGAAGAAGGCAGACAGCATGCAGCCATCTGCTGCGAGGCTTCCTTGTCTTCTCCAGAGGAGAAGAAATTACAGCTTATGTCTCACTGGTTGCAGTCATCCCTTGGCTTTCCCTTGCCACAGGAAGAGCAGGAAGACAGCTTCTACCTTTATGATAGAGGAGAGGGCATGAAGAGGGTGGGGAGACATTTCACATGGCCTCACCCAAGCCAAGAATAGAGTTTCTCTCAAAGCATTTCTGGGAGGATAAAGTGCCTTTAAAGCCTGCAACCCTGTACTCGGAACAGGGAAAGTTCACGAATGTCATTCATGCCACAGGAATGTCTAGGGAGTTTTTAATTTGTCCAGCAAAAATTGCACAAAGGAAAAAGGCTTGTTGCATGGAATTTAATCCTAATTTATAGGCACTGGGGTGCAGAGCTCTGCGGCCCATTCCATCCTCCACTTGCCTGAATCAGAATATTTGCCCCAGTGTTCAATGGCACTGAGCAGCCACTTGGGGTATAGTCTTAAGGGGATGGTTGCTGACCACAGCAAGTCCTGGGAGCCCACAAAGGCTATCTTCCTGCAGCTCCCTCCCTGAGTGTAGTTCACTCCACCTGAAAGCTGGAAAGCAAGAAGGAGTAAGGGATAGGTAAACACACAAGCTTCAAAGCATGAAGATGGTTTTCTGTGTGTGGGACTGAGGCCCAGTAACCTGGGAATTTCAAGTTCCAGTTAAACTTGGAAATTCGATGTTTCCATATTTGTGCAGGAGAGTCCTTGTCAGTTCCACCAGCCACATAACCCACACACAGGTATAATGCACACACATTTACCAGATATTGGAGGGTGTCCCCTATTTCAGGCAGCCAAGTGTCAGAGCCCAGGACTTCAGCAAAGTGAGAGAGCCCCTTGCAATGGCTCCCTACCTAGACAGTGCTCTCTTTCTGCCAAAAACAAGAGTATATCATGTCCTCTTCCCAATGGCTAGAACGATATGAAGAGAGAATAGAGCACCCAGAAGCAGGGACCAGGGTCCTGGTATTCTCACTGCAGAGAGAATGCATCAAAGAAGAATAGATCTCCAATGCCAAGACTGCATCATCTCTACACTTCTAACTCAGGGAAAAAAATCACCAGTGAGGCTCTTCCTGGGGTCCTTCAAGCTGGCTCAGCCCAGCTAGACATTATAACCCATGTGCCTCTAACAGTGAGGTGAGGGCTGCAACATTTCACTTTAAAAATGCCACAGGTCCCATCCCACTTTCTTAAAAATACGGGAAAATGTCATTTCCATCCCTCCCTGCACAGACAGATTGTCCCAAAGGACATGGAAGAGAATCACTGAGACACAGGCCTGGGATGCAGAGACAGGGGACATTGGAAGGACTGAAAAGGACTTCCACATGCCCCACTAGAGGTTCTAGTGATTCCTTAGCAAGGAGAGACAGAGGCTGCTTAGTCTTACTTGTCTTCCCTTAGTCACAGAGTCATGGAAATTTTAACTTGGTCCAATGGCTACCCAGAGTAGAGTCATTCTCCAGTGCCCCTTACGTGTTGTTTGGGCTATGAATTCAACCCAATGGGATTCAAATAACAGTGGTGTGCAGCTGCCAGAAAGGGTCCCTAAAATGCTAGGGCATTTTCCTTATTCTTCCGTTCCTTGATCCTACTACATGGTGGGCTTGTGATGTGATGGCTGGAGCTGGAATCACTTTATTGAGTCACACAGTGGCTTTGGGATTAAGAGCCACCCTTGGTTAGAAATAGATCCCTTGATTAGAAATAGATCCCTTGATTGAAATAGGAGTGTGGGGTCCTGAGTATTTTAGGAAGTAGAAAACACATACCAGGTTTGGACTGCCTACTTCCAGATTTAATGTGAAAGAAAAGCACTTCTGTCTTAGTCAAATCATTCTTGTTTGGGGTTTTGCTGAGCTTGCAGTTACGTGCATTCCTAACTAGCATAGGCAGGAGTAGGCTTTGTGCTAAAATTGTATTGCATTCTATTTGCTGTGTTATGTCCAGATATTTAAACAGAGATCATATAATCAAAAGCCCGAGAGTTTCTCTAACTTGAATCTCTATAAACACAATGAAATTAACAGCTGCAATCACCAGAGTAGTTTTTGAACACTTATGTACACATGTTGACTTTAATGCTATAGTATACTGCATACATTTTATTCCATGGTGAGACCTCCTGCATTCCTAGTCATTTTGTTCTGTTAATAAAATGCCACAATGTCTAACTCCTTCATGAATTGCTAATAAGTAGGATCTGACTGGGGGATACCCACTGCCCAGACTTGGGGACAGCAGGATGTAGAGGCTGGGCTCTCTGCCACCCTGTGCACCACCCTGCAGGGAGACCCTGTTCTCTTGGCTGCAGTTGGGTGCCAGGTGCCTGTTAGGCTGTCCAGAGAGGTGGTAGAAAGATACAAAGACCCAGGGGCTGGATGGTCCCGCTAAGCAGCAGCATCCAACTTGGGCATCCTTCCTCCAAGCATAGTAGGTGAGTAAAATAGAGACCAGCATGGTTGAGGAATGGTTCTCAAGGTTTAAATCTCTCCTTGCAAAATCCCACTTCACTGTGGTGAATAGCTTCTTGCTGGGCAGAAGGCTCCCTGAAGGCCTATGCCTGTCTGTGCCCTGACCCTGGCCCCTTCTCCTGTGCAGCATTTGTACAGGCACTCTCACGTATGTTGTGTTCACGTCTGCACAGGTGGCAATCAGGAGGTGGGACATTCCACTGCATCATTCTGGGGCCATGAGAAAACTCCTGAATCCTCCCCAGACCTGCTGACTCAGCAGCTTCTATCCTGGGACTCCAGTTTAATCAGAGGAGGACGCGCTGGAGAACCATGTTCCCAATGACAGAACAGGTTTTTCTAATTCCACATCAAATTGTCATAATTTCTCTACTGGTACATAGCATTCGTTGCAGACACAGCATCAATTTTCTCCTTCCTTTCTTGCATATAGAATTTCAAGTTTGCTTAAGTTCTCTATCCCTTCTGTGCTCAGCCTCCTGCCCCAGGAGAGGCTGACTTCACCCCTGTCTCCATAGAAAAGCCAGGTGGATGTAAGGACAACGAGGCAATTTCCTGTTGCCAGGAGTTGATTCAGGAGTTGGCATGTGATGTGTGTCTCACCAATGAGAAGTGAGAGAAAGAGCTCCAGGGTTTCTCTCCTAAGAACTTTGGTAAGAGACAGAAACCCTTATCTATGAGGTGCTGTTGGATCTGGATATAATGTCTGAAACAGCTGCAGCCAACATGGCTACCAGCTTGAGGACCACAAAGAAGAGTGACATAATTTTGATATTCGATTTCGAGCTATTAAATCAAGTGGTTTTTAAGCATCATTTCCACATTCCCCAACATATACCCCTCTCCAGACTAGAAAATGTGGTTATTATAGAAGCACAAAATTTCTATATTGAGCCATTAACTTCTCAAATCTCTATTCAAATCATGTGTCTTCCATAGGGCTCGTCACAATCTCTCCCTCGCTAAAATTTGATTTCCCTTTAAGTCTGTATCATTGTTTATGGTCATTTACACATATGACGATCACCTTTCTACACTGTAACTCTCTAAGCAACAGCGATGTGTCTGTCAATCATATCCATATCTCTGCCCAGCAGCTCCCACAGTCCAGACACACGGCTCACTCTCATGGTTGCTTTTGTAGAGTTGATGAAAACCCAGTGCTGAATGGCACAAATTGTGTGGATGGAAATTTCACACTGCTAGTGTTTGTGAACAGGTTTTCTGCTGCAGTGGTAAATTCTCAGACAGCCTTGCTCTATTAAAGTGCTATTGCACTGGATAAAGGCAAAGATTTATTTATTTATTTACAAGTCAGAGTTACACTGAGAGAGGAGAGGCAGAGAGACAGAGAGGTATTCCATCCAATGGTTCACTTCCCAATTGGCAGCAATGGTAGGAGCTGCACCAATCTGAAGCCAGCAGCCAGGAGCTTCCTCCAGGTCTCCCACGTGGGCACAGGGGCCCAAGGACTTGGGCCATCTTCTACTGCTTTCCCAGGCCACAGCAGAGAGCTGGATTGAAAGTGGAGCAGCTGGTCTCGTACCATATGGGATGCCGCGCTTCAGGCCAGGGCATTAACCCACTGCGCCACAGGGCTGGCCCCTGGGTAAAGCAATTTTATTAGGTAATTTCAGGGCCAAGATTTCTTGTTCTTTGTTAATGTCAAGTTATTTGCATTTCAGGAATCTGCATTTAAATGAATGGAAACCAGGACTTAATTTGGAACACACCTGGATGGAAGAAATGGAAACTGAAAAAGAGCTGGAGAAGAGGAAGAAGACTCATCCTGGGGAAATTTTAGTCACAAATTGGACTTTATTTTCTCTGGTAATTTATTTGCTCCTTCTTTCATGCTTTTGTTTTTTGACTTTAGAAAGCAACTTCAAATGGGGACAGCAGTGCCTAGAAGTTAAATATTTCCTTTCCTGTTAATAGTATCAATCGTGATGTCAACCACAATGGAGCTATTTCATTAGCAAATTAAATGATTTCTCATAAATCAAGATGAGTCTGTTTTCCAACAGCTGCTTTATTATCTCCATATTTTCTCTTTGCAGCACTTCCAAAGAGTTTTTACTCCTAATCAAGCACATTAACATATTTCCTTCTTGCTCTTTCACTTTCTCAAGAAACATTCTTCAATGCCTTAAAGTTTGGGTCACAATAGTGAGTAAAAGGCTATATTATGAAGGGTAATCTCTACCAAAACTGCAGTTTTTTGACTGTTTCATGCTTCCTGGACAGCAGCCAGAAGTAGTAAGTAGGCACAAAGAGAAATAGATTACATTTCTAGAGTCTATTTTTTTTAAATGGTGCTTGTTAAATCTCTAAATTTGTCATTGAGGTTTTAATATAGGGTATCAAATGTAAAGGGAAACCTTCTATTCTCCAAAATATAAACTCAGAAGCAAAATGGAAGGAAGGCACCCAAGTTTATTTTTTTTTAAACTTTTATTTAATGCATATAAATTTCCAAAGTACGACTTATGGATTACAATGGCTTCCCCCCCATACCGTCCCTCCCACCCACAACCCTCCCCTTTCCCACTCCCTCTCCCCTTCCATTCACATCAAGATTCATTTTTGATTATCTTAATATACAGAAGATCAGCTTAGTATACATCAAGTATGGATTTCAACAGTTTGCTCCCACACAGAAACATAAAGTGAAAAATAATAGATGATTTTTTTTAAATGATGATGAAATCAGAGCAGACCTATTGTCATGTTTAATCCCAGTGAGAGTCAAGTTGGGAATTGATAATTTCTTTTTTTTTTTTTTTTTTACAGAGGATCAGTTTAGTATGCATTAAGTAAGGATTTCAACAGTTTGCACCCCCATAGAAACACAAAGTGAAATATATTGTTTGAGTACTCGTTATAGCATTAAATCTCAATGTACAGCACATTAAGGATAGAGATCCTACATGAGGAGTAAGTGCACAGTGACTCCTGTTGTTGACTTTACCAATTGACACTCCTGTCTATGGCATCAGTAATCTCCCTATGTTCCAGTCATGAGTTTCCAAGGCTATGGAAGCCCTCTGAGTTCTCCGACTCTTATCTTGTTTAGACAAGGTCATAGTCAAAGTGGAGGTTCTCTCCTGAGGTGGCATGTACCAATGCCATCTCACTGTTCCAGGTGATCAGTTTCAGTTCACAGTTGGTCATGGTGGAGGGACTGGGAGTCAAAGGGAGCACATAGACAAGTCTAGTACCTGCTAACACTAACTGATGGAGTAAATAAAGGGGAGAGTGATCCAACATGGGAAGTGAGATACTCAGCAGACTCATAGAATGGCAGATGTCCTAAATAGCACTCTGGCCTCAGAATCAGCCCTAAAGGCATTCGGAGCTGGCTGAAAAGCTCATGAGAGTATTTCAGGCATGGAAAGCCAAGACACTCTGGCAAAAGATCTCTGTGAGTGAGATCCCAGTGGAAAGAACAGGTCATCAAAGAAGGAGGTACCTTTCTCCAAGTTTATTTTTTTTTCCTTTCCTTTTTCCCCCTCAAAGGCAAATGGCCTTCCATGCAGGATGGGAAGCTACTGTGACTGCTCCTGTCACCCAGGTGATCTGGGCACGTGTTGGTTGGGTAAAGTGCGATACAGAGCAACAGGGACAGCTACTGATTCCAGGGAGCATTTCACTGTTAGACAAAAAAAAATTAAGACAAGAAACAAACAAGGGCTGTGTGTGGGGGTGGGGGATGGGCATTTCCTTACTGGTTAAGACAGAGCTCAGGACACTCACATACCATATAATAATGTCTGGGTTGGAGTTCTGGCTCCATTCCAAATCCCACTTTTCTGCTAATGCAGATCCTGAGAGGCAACAGGTGATGACTCACATAGTTGGGTCTCTGATACCTACTGGGAAGACCTTGATTGAATTATGATGCCCTTGATTCCCAGGGGTTCAAACAAAGATGTGTTAAGACACTAATTGTTGGGAGAAATACAAGAACAATTTCTACATTTCCATATTCAAGGACTAAAAAGGATTTAAGAGAACTGTTTACCCACCTAGAGGAGGCACTTTTCTGAATTTATAAAACCCTGGATGGGGGAGGAGCAGCAAGATGGCGGAATAGGAAGGGAGCACACTGATAGTCTGGAAAGAGACAGTTTAATAAAAGTGGAGATACTGCAGGTTCAAGTAAGAGTAGGGGAAGAAACAGCAGAGGAAACTCTTCCAAAAGTAGTGATTCACAGTGGACCTGTGTGGAGGGTGTCAGAGCCCACAGTTCGGGACACCAGTGGCAGACTCAACACACCAGCGCTGGAATGCAAGGTGAGCCGAACCTCAATAGCCCAAGACACCAGTGGGAAAGTGGAAAGAGGAGACTAGAGGGAACGATGCTTGAATCCCCTTGGGGAAAAGTTCACTTGGCTAACTAGAAGAGAGAGGGAAAAAAAAGTGACCAATATGGACACGAGTTTCTCTCTCTCCACTCACCTCTCAAAGGCGGGCAAGACAAAGAGCAGGCGCCATTTTGGACATACGTCATAAGCAGGGCGACCTCAGGTCTGCACAAGCCCTCAGCCTAGCAGAAAAACCTGACTTTGGGAGGGGTGAAATAACAGGAGATTAGGACCTAGTGAATGTGTGGTGCTAATGAACTGAGACTGAAAAAAGAGACGGTGGGGGAGAGAACTCACGGAATTCACGTGAGTGCTCTCCAGAGATGCTAAAATTCGGTAACCTTGGCAACCCAGTGGGAGACTGAAGGAGAATTTGAGCCCACACTGAGGGCACCACAGATTCCCAGTATGGTTCTTGGGAAAGAGTTTCCTATCTCAAGCTCCTGTGGGTATATCATTCACCTGCTAACTACCTGCAATTCTGTTCAGCTGTGCAGAATTACTTCCCTTTTGAATCACAAAAAGAAAGAAAGAGAGAGAGAGATTTACCATGCCTAACTTGGGAGTGTCACCTTTGGCACACCCTTAACCCTGAGGAACCAAACAGAGCTCTCAGGCCACACCCATCTCAAGCCTCTAAGGCTCCATCAAAAGCAGATAGTCCACTTAATCTAGAGTCATAGTATAATGAGAAAAAACACCACAGCAAAGAAACCAAAGAATATCTCCACAATGCCAAACAAACATAGAAACCAAGGTAACAAGAACAAGGAAGACACTACGATGCCCTGAAATGATAAAGACACCCCAATTCAAGATTATGAAGATGATGAGATAGAAGAAATGCAAGAAGCAGATCTCAAAAAATTAATAAGAACATTAAGAAGTTCTCAAAAACAAATTCTTGAACTACAGAAACCCTTACTGGACAGGATAGAAAATCTATCTTGTGAAAATGAAATATTAAGGAGGAAACAAAATGAAATGAAGCAACTAGTAAAACAGGAAACTGTGATAGTGATGAGAAATCATAATGAAATGAAGAATTCAATAGATCAAATGACAAACACATTAGAGAGCCTTAAAAACAGAATGAGTGAAGCGGAAGAGAGAATATCGGACTTAGAAGACAGAGAACAGGAAAGTATACAGTCAAACCAAAGGAAAGAAGAGGAAATTAGAAATCTAAAACATATTGTTGGGAATCTACAGGATACTATTAAAAAACCCAACATTCGGGTTCTAGGAGTTCCTGAAGGCATGGAAAGGGAGAAAGGATTAGAATGCCTTTTTAGTGAGATACTAGCAGAAAATTTCCCAGGTTTGGAGAAGGACAGAGACATCCTAGTACAGGAAGCTCATAGAACCCCTAGTAAACATGACCAAAAGAAATCCTCACCACAACACGTTGTAATCAAACTCACCACAGTGAAACATAAAGAAAAGATCACAAAATGTGCAAGAGAGAAACATCAGATTACTCTCAGAGAATCTCCAATCAGACTCACAGCAGTCTTCTCATCAGAAACCTACAAGCTAGAAGGGAATGGCGAGATATAGCCCAGGTACTAAGAGAGAAAAACTGCCGGCCCAGAATATTATATCCTGCAAAGCTCTCATTTGTGAATTGAGGTGAAATAAAGACTTTTCATAGCAAACAGAAATTGAAAGAATTTGTCGCCACTCGTCCAGCCCTGCAAAAGATGCTTAA